TGTGTTTTCCTGATATGGGAACTCAGTGCAATAAATTTTTCTCTGAGGACAGTTTTCATTGTATTCCACAGATTATGGTATGTTGTATTTGTATTTTTATTTGCTAGTAGGTATTATTTAATTTCTTCTTTAATTTCCCCTGTGACCCACTGATTAATCAAGAGTATGTTATTCAGTTTCCATGTGTTTGTGGGATTCTTGCAGCATCTTTTATCATTAATTTCTATTTTCATGACGCTGTGATCTAATAACATGCATGGAAAAATTTCAACTCTTTTGCATTTATTTAAGTGTGTTCTGTGGGCTAACATATGGTCTATTTTAGAGAATGTCCCATGTATTGTTGAGAACAATGTGTATTCTGATATATTTGGATGGAACACTCTATATATGTCTATCAAGTCCATTTGTTCACAGATGTGATTCAGTTCTTTTATTTCTTTGCTGGTTTTCTGTTTGTTTGATCTGTCCTTTGGTGTCAATGGTGTGTTAAGGTCTCACGTTATAATTGTGTTATTGCTAATTTGGTTTTTCATTTCTGTTTATACTTGCTTTATATAACTGGGTGTTCTGGAATTTGGTGCATATATATTGAAGATTGTTATCTCTTTCGCTTGAAATTTTCCTCTGACCAGTATGTAATAACCTTCTTTACCTTTTTTAATCATTATTGGTTTAAATTTCACATTGTTTGCAAACAGAATAGCTACCTCTGCTTTTTGGGATACTCCTGTTGCATGTAGTATTGTTTTCCATCCTTTGACTTTCAGTCTATGATTATCCTTTTGTGTTAGATTGGTTTCTTTTAGACAGCATAGGGTTGGATGTTGTTTCTTGATCCATTCTGCCAGTCTGTTTCTTTTAATTGGTGCATTGATGGTTATAACTGTTATATATTGGTTTATTATTGACATGTTAACTTGCTGCTGTTTCATCTTTATCTTTCCATTCTATTTAATTGTCTGCTTTGCTTAGTGGTTTTTTCTAAGTGTATCTAATCTGTCTTTCAGTATTCTTTGGCAGGTTGGTTTGGTGATCAAAACGTTCTGCAGCTATCTCTGTCATGGAAGTAACTTATTTCTCCACTGATGTTGGAGGACTGTTTTTCAGGATACATCAGTCTAGGTTGAAAATCATTTTCCTTTAGGATTTGAAATACTTCACTCCATGCTCTTCTTCACTTCATTTTTTGTGTTGAGAAGTCTGCTGTGATTCTGGTAAGCTTTCCTTTATAGGTGATGTCTTTTCTCTCTGCAGCTTTTAGTTTTCTATTCTTATGTTGGATTTCTGGGATGGTGATTATTATATGTCTGGGTATAGTTTTATTTTGGTTATGGCTATTTGGAGTTCTTTATGCTTCACTAATCCTCATATCAATTTTGACTCTCATGTTAGGGAAATTTTCAGCTCCTTCTTCTGTGAATAGCCTCTTGATATCATTTGTGTTGTTCCCTTCTTTTTCATTTATCCCTATTAATCTTATGTTTTTTTCTTTGCATCATCTTGCAGCTGTTGAATTGTTATTTCCTGATTACTTATTTTTTAAAAGATCTTTTCTTTCTGATTCACTAGCTGAAATCTTGTCTTTGAGGTCTGAAATTCTATCTTTACTTGAATCATTTTTGATAATTTTGATGGAATTTTTGATTTCCTGTATATCTCTTTGAGTCTGCTTCATATATTGTCTTTGTTTCTTAAATTGTTCATCCAGGGATTCTATCTTTTTTTTGTTCCTCTAACTTTTTAACTGTTTCTTCTTTAGATGTATTCAGCATCTCTTTCGTTACTTTTATCATTTCTTCTTTTACCTGGGAGATTATTTCTAGTTTGAATTCCTTTAAAGCTTCCTGGAGTTGCTTCTTTATTTTAGTTGCTATTATTGCAGGTATTTCAGGTGTATGACATATATTTTCTTCTATGCACATGGTTCCTCAGCTTTCTTGGGATGGGCTGGAAGTATGAGATTGCATTTTGGTCTTTTGTTTTGTAATTTTCCTATATTTCTGTGTTTCAAGTGTTTTTGTAAGGCTTCCTCTGGATGTGTTGGAAATCATCTCATATGCCATAGGCTCCTGGAGGTTACTTAGCCTGGTCCAGTCAGGCCCTCAGACCCTCCTGTGCAACCTTCAGTGTTTCGGCTAGCTGGTCAGCCACCTAACCACTGTGGATGATGGGCCAAAGCTCTCCCCAGGCAAAGACCAATGCCTTGGAACTTACTTCACCTGCTCTCAACTCCCATAATTGAAGAAAGTCACTGGGGGTAAACCACTCAGGCTGAAAAACCTCCCAAGACTAGTCTAGTGTGGCTGGGCTTTGGGCAGGTTGTTGAGCTCTGGGAGCAATGATCTTAACTCAATGTCCCAGGCTCTGGATAGTGCGCAGACTCACCCCAGCCACCAGCTGGGTTTCCTGGTTCCAGGTTCCAGAGAAGGTTGCTGGTCGGGTCTTGGGCAGACCTGAAACCTGAGGGCAAGTGCAGCCTACTGTGGCTGGGCTTTGGGCAGGTCCTTGAGCTCTGGGAGCAATGATCTTAACACAGTCTCCTGGGCTTGGGATGGCACGTGGACTCACCTGTATATCCTATTCTTTTCCCATGTTTGGGAATTTTCCCACTATTACTTCTGTGAATAGTTTTTTTATGTCACTTGTGTTGATTCCTGCATTTTCACTGACGCCTATCAGTCTTATGTTGCTTCTCTTGGCATCATCTTGAAGCTGTTGAATTGTAATTTTATGTTTCCTTGTTTTTTTAAATTTTGTTTCTTTGGTTTTTTTTTTTCTTTTAGATGGTTTAAATAGAACTTTATTACTGTGCAGTTTGGAAGACCAGACCTCCAAAGTCCAGATGAGGGGGTCAGTACTTACTTCTCTGTAGGCTGCAGGGTGGATCCTGCTTGCTTCTTTCTGTGCCTGTGGCTCCAGGCCTTTCTGTGACCTTGTCCCCCATCCCTACATAGCCTCTTCCCTGATCTGCCCCTCTCTTAGTATACAGAACTTTTTCTGGATTTAGGGTCTGTTCCAGGATGACTTCCTTGATTCATAATCCCTAACTAAATCTATAACCTTTTTCCAAATAAGTTTACATTAAGAGTCTTGTGGTTACAGGGGGAATGTTGTTTTGGGGTCACCATGCAGTCTGAGGATGTGAAGGATAGGAGTGCCAGTGAGGCCAGCCAGGTAGGCTGAATACCCTTATCTACAGTTCCCCTCTGACTGGAAGTCCCACTTTTGGAGCACCCGCATGGGTTTTCCAATACAGACACACATGTGCCAAAATGTTCTCCAGTCCTTGTGAGGTGAGGAATGAACATTTCATTTCCAAGGCAGGGCCAGAGGTCAGGTCCCTGTTTCTCCTTCCAGACATGGTGGAGATGATGCTGATGCAGAATGCACAGATGAACCAGATCCTCATGCAGAATATGATGCTCAAAGCCTTACCATCTGCGCTGGCACCTGTGAGACTGCACTCTGCCCTTCAGGTGGACTGGGGGGCATCTGGGTAGCTCTGGAAGGGCATCTCTGGGTCGAACCTGTAGTCCAGCTGTGAAGCCCCAGTGCTGATGCCCTTCTGTAAGGAATGGGTTGTGCCTGGGGCCCAGGTTCTATCTATAGTTGCTGTCCTTTCCTACCTTCACACTCAATCCTTTCCCAGTCAGAAATGGGTTCAGGAAAAGAGGTCGCCATCCTGAACCTACTGTGTGCTCTATGCTAGGACCTTCATTGGATGCGCCCAGTTGTCCTGAGAGCTGAGAGGCAAAAGCCACCTGAAGTGCATTGCCACCACCATAACTATGTGCCTTCTGCCCCACTGCAGCCTGGTTCCGTGACAGTTACACTATGTGGCCCCCAGTGGTTGAAGCCACTTCCCTGCTTCCTTCCACCAGCTTCCTGCCCACCATGTGCCACATGGCCAGTTCCTCTGTGTGCCCTTAGCACATAAGTCTGAAAGGCAAAGGTTGGGTGCATGTGTCAGCAGAAGGCTTGGAAGGGACAGGAAAGGACTCCACCACCTTCCAGAAGGCTGTAGGGCTCCATGTCCCCCATGTGGAGTAGCCTTTCAGTGCCCCTACTGTAGCATTGGTACCTGTGAGTTGGGCCAGTCCAAGTGCTACTCCAGGGTCACCCTCTCTTGTCATCTAGGCTGGTGTCTGGTGGCATCTTGTCCTCACAGGCTCCAGGTGTATGACTATTTGTTTCAGCTTGGTAAGCAGCAAAGTCCTCCACTTTGGTCCCTTGTCATTATCCTTCTGGAAAACCAGGTGACTCCCATTCAGAGGAAATACAAGGGTTTCACCAGGACAGAATCTAAGGCAACAGGGCCCAGCATGCATACAAGAAAAGATCCAAGGTTTCAGCCACATAAAACATAAAACAAAGCTGGAGATATAGCTCACAGGCACAAGTGCCTGACTTACAATCTTGAGGTTTTGAGTTTAAATGTTGGTACAAAAAAAAAAAAAAACAAAACCATAAACCAGGGATTTAGCTTAGTGGTGTAAGTGCTTTCCAGGCAAGTGCGAGGTCATGAGTTCTATTCCCAGTACCACCAAAAGTACAAAATAAACCCATAAAACATAGGGGGTGGTACAAAACAAAGTCACACTGGGGCTGGAGATGCAGCTCAGTAATGCAGCTGCCTACTTAGCCGCATGAGGCATGGGGCCCTTGCCTACTACATGTGGAATGGTCCCACATCAGTGTGAATAAAGCAAGCAGGACACATATGCCAGGACTCTGGGTTACAGTCTACAGGGGAGAGGACCCATATGATGCCTATATAGCCTCTGTTGAAGACCAGAAGCTAAACTCAGCCCCTCTAGCAGGGCCAGCAAGGGGGCCTTCTCTACAGTCTGCTTTGCTGGGACTGGTGTCCTAGGAATAGCTAGCTAGTTACCATAATGCTTCTCCTACTTTATTGGTGGAATCAGGTCACCTTGCTGTTTTAATGTTATTTTTAAAAGAACCTTTTAAACTATTATACATAAATTTCTATTTCTTCCCTTTCAGGTCTTCTTTCTCCTTTTCTGTCTTTTCCTTGGTGGTACTGTGGATTGAACTTAGGATCTTTGCAATGTGAGTTACATTCCAAAATCCTTTTTATTTTTTACTTTGAGATAGGATCTCACTAAGTTATTAAGTTGCCCAAGCTGGACTCCAATTTTCTTTCTTTCTGTCTTTTTTTTTTGTGTGTGTGTGTGTGTGTGCGCGCCAAGGATTGAACTCATGACCTCGTGTTTGCCAAGCAGGCACTTACACCACTTCTGAGCTAAACTCCTGGCCCCTGAGCTCCAATTTTCAATTCTCCTGTCTCAGCCTCTCAGAGTGCTCACATTACAGGTGTGGGCTACCAGGCCTGGCTCAAACTAAGTATTTGTGAAGTGATTCACTATCAGTGTTTATATCCTTGAAACCTTGCAGGTTGGAGGACAGATGAGTCAGCGAGGCTTCACAGTGGCTTAGAGCCTCACCTCTGGCTGAGGCTCTCAGGCAAGCATCAGAGCCACGAGGGTGTGTACCCACGTGGATGGATGGATGGAGACTGACACATACCCAGCTCTGGTGGTGGCATCGTTTCTCTCACAGTCATCTTCCAGTGCACCCCTCAATGTAATTCCAGATTCTGTGTATTACAAGCATGAATTAAAGGCCTGATATGATTTCCTATTTTTGTGATTGTTCTAATATGGCAGTTATGTTTGATTTTATCTCTCCACATAATATTAATTTGCAGAGGAAAGCTGGTTGCTGTGGCAGCTGCTGGTTATCCTGGCTTCAGGTCTTGCTGGATGGAAGGTGTGAAGGGAATATCTCAGTATTGGGAGCCCTGGTTCTGTGTGCACGAATGGCTGGCTGGGCTCATCTGCAGGAGGGAGCAGCTGGCATGGAACTGTCCTCACACTGTGTCCTTACCTGCTGTAGGCCACTGTGGGGAAGTGAAGTGCACAGTGGTTTTCAGTGCTGGGCATGGGTTGCCTGGGGTTGGGGCTGAATGCAAATTTGACTGCCAACTAGCCACAAGTGGCATTTCTCAACTTTAGGCCAAAAAGACACTTGTTCGTATTCTGTATTAAGACACGAGATAGTTTGCAAGAATATATAAAAACACCAAGTCAAAAAGGAAAATCAGTAGAAAGACAACAGATAGGAGCAGTCACACAGTGAGAGAATGAGGATGATGAGCTTTCAGGTATACTGTGATGGGGGAAGACAGCCAGTCACACCAGAGAAATGATCCTGGCAGGGGCTGGGACACATCCAGGTTGGCCTAGGCCCCAAGGTCACTAGCTTTAGGATACTGGGGCATGAGTGATCATCCAGCCCTTTGGAAGCACTGGGTGTGCATAGCTGCAATCTCAGAACTGGGGTGGTTGAGGCAGAATTGTGAGTTTGAGGCCAGCCTGGGCTACAAAGCGAGACTTTGTAAGAGACAAAGGAGGAAGGAAACAAAGAAAGAAAGAAAGAAAGAAAGAAAGAAAGAAAGAAAGAAAGAAAGAAAGAAAAGAAAGAAGCATGGCAGGGTTTTAACAAACCCCATGATCCACTCCACCTTAATAGCCCCCAGTTCTGCTGAGGCTTGTGCCCTAAGCATGGGCTGAGGTCTGTTGAGCTCTGCTGTACCAGACACTAAACAGAACAATCCTAGCTAACCACAGGCCAGCTATGCACAGTTCAGAGAGGCCAGAGGAATAAGGTTGGCCTGTCTGCCATTCTAACTGACTCCACTGGGGAACATTCCCATGCTTCTGCATCATTTAATGAATCACACATCACTGGAGTCCTAGTATCCCAGGTTTTAGGGTTGTCTCTTTTTGGTGACCTCTTGTAGTGTCCACCATACTTGGGATCCCATTATTGGCAAAGGAAGATGCCATGACTTTTGATCTGCTCCCGAGAATATGGCTCTTGTTCCTACAGGCTCTGGAGCTCATGGCTTATTTTAACTTTCAGAGGATGAGCAGGAAAGATTCCCTACAAGGAAAGATGAGCAGTGAGATTTCCTGCAAATAACTGTGAACCTCCCATGCCTCTTACACAGAGGAAGCAGGGCAAGTCACCTTTTGGCCCAGGGTGGCCATGTCCACAGTGACATCTCGGAAGAGCCCGGGGGTGATCTGGTTCAGCATCTTCAATGTCTGAGTAGGTCTAGCACAAGCAAGGCTTGGGTCAGGAGCCTTGGTTCAACCCTGTGTCTTGCAGTGCCCAGAGCAGCATCAGAAGAGGCCCCTGCTAAGAGGCTGGAGCTGAGCCCCAGTGTGCTGGCTTAGCTCCTCTAGCACCTGCTTCTCCTGGTTGTACATTTTGTCCACTCTGCTTCCAAATTGTGTGTGAACTCAAGTAAGTGACAGAGTCCATGAGTGGCCTTCACAGTCAGAATGTCATAGTAATCTTCATTTTTTTTGCCCTGCTCAAAGATATACTCCACTCCTAAAAAAAATATCTCCCAAGTTACAGTCGTTTGGAAAACTGGGCTGGGGAACATCACCTGCTTTCAGATACTCATAAAATGGAAACGAAAACACATTGGTTGGGATATTTTTCTTTCTGTAGATCCTATTAGTGTGTTGAATATTCTTGTTGTCAAGAAAGATTATCCCAAGTCAAATTTCTCCACTCCTAAAATATTCCTTACAATCTCCACAACCCTCAGAAGTGTCACTCTCCTCATGGGAATCGTGCCCTGCAGATTTCTAATCACCGAACTCATTTCAGGAAGAACATCAGTACCTTTAAAATTGTTTGGATACAACCTCAGGAAATGGCTTGTGGGGATGTGGTCCTCATCAGCTGGGGCAACTGCGTTGGGCAGGCAGCTCAGAGAGGCAGCGAGGGTACAGGGTCCTGTGATGCTCAACGCCTTTTCTTGTTATTTTTAGAAGTTCTTTTCTTTTGTGTTTGTTAATTGTGATCCTGTCCTCAAGGTCCAAAAATGCTATTCTTAGCTTCATTCAAATAGTTTAATTGCCTTCAGTGGAATTTTTTATTTCCTGGTTATCTCTGATTTGTTTCATGCATAGTATTTCTTTTCTATATTGTTAATTCAAAGTTTCCATTGTTTTCTTATGCATCAATTCTTTTTTGTCTGTGTCTTCTCTAGGTATGCTGAGCAGTTCCTTTATTAAGGTTGCCATTTCTTTCTTTACCTGAGAGATTATTTCTAATCTGATTTCCTCTATAGCCTCATGAATTTGTTTCTTCATTTCACTTGCTATCATTTCGGAAATTTCAAGTGTATGACTTCTAATGTCCTCTATCTCAGCATCTCCTGTACTTGTTCCTGATGGACTGAATGCTTGAGATTGCATTTTGCTTTTTTGTTTTGTCATATTCACCTGTTGAGTTAATATTTTGATCTTTTCAATATCACTGTTCTCAACTGTCCATCATGTGTGTCTCAGGGTTCTACGGTGTGGCTGATATTTGTTCAATTGCTGGGTCCCACAATGATGGGGAGGGGTCAGTCACCTGAATTCCTCCTGCAGGGCCTGTTGAGTGAGTCCTATATTCTTTCTAGGCTCATTAGCCTAGGAGTATTGTGGGGATGTGGTCCTCATCAGCTGGGGCAACTTAGCTCCTATTCCTACTGTAGGTTTAGGCTGTTCCAGGTCACCAGATCTACCTAGCTATAGTGTGCACCTCAGCTGGGACCCTACTGTGTCACTGGGGGTCTCCTAGGCCCTTTCAAGTCCCTCTGGGTAGGAGGAGGCCTTGTTGGTAGTCTGTATGGAAGAAAGACTCACTCACCCTCTTGCCAGGATCACCAACATCCTACAGCTGAAGGGGAGAGTTTTCTGCTGCTCCTGAGTCCTCTATTTGAGGAGAAAACTCACTGCACTGTCACAGGCCTGCTGCAGTTCTCTGTGTGGGTGAGGTATTGCTGAGGCTTCCACCAGACCATCAGGGTTCTACAGGTGGAGGAAGAGATCACTGATGATCTGTGAGCTATTGAGGTCTCTGAGATGAAGGAGGAGTGATTGCCAATGATCCTACTGGCCCCAAGATCTCTAGGGTGAAGGAGGCAGAACTGCTAATAATCCTGCTGTTCCCGAGGTCTCCTGGGTCCTGTGATGTATTTTTGGTTCACTATTTCCTCAGGAAAAGGGAACATAATGGTTTTTCACTTGCCTTTCTCACCATAATTGTCCTCATATTACAGGTTAGGGAGACAGCATAGAATAGTGCCTAACACTAAGTATGTCTTTATTAAGCATGCATTCTGGAACTAGGTAAATAATCACAAAATAAATTTAGGGACACAGTGGACCTGGTATGAGTCCTTGGAAAAAATTGCATTTATCTCCTGACCTCCATTTTCTCTATTCTTTCTGGAAGACCACAATGATATTACAGATATCTTGGAGTCAATGTCAGCTCAGAATCATTGTTCCCAAAATGTATGATCTTTTCCTTTTCCCTAGTGTAGGGCTACACTGTTAACTTTGAGTAAGGATAGGAGAAAAATTAATGTTATGCTGTTTTGGTGGTGAATCATGCTTTTCACTAAGGGGACCTGACCTTCCTCTTATTCAAGTGGTCCTGGTTCTGTAAATTGGCCAAAGCATGGAAATTGGTTGAAAGGTTATGATTCTCTGCTATGAAAATTTTAGTAGATTTTTCTCCATTTGACCTAAAGTATTTGGCTAACTAAATCCATGCAATTTTGTAGATTTCCAATTTTGAACTTCTTAGAACATCTCATTAAGTAGTCAACATAGATCTGCAGAAGTCAGATCATTTAGAACATAGTTTTGGCTTTACTGTCCATAACAGTATGTCCATCTCATTATTGATACTTGAGTGCTAACACTTAGCTTGTTAGTGACTAACTGACTAAGTCACTTGGTGACTAAATGCTAACACTTAGTCACTCCAGGATTCAATTAGATCCATCAGGTTGAAGTCTCCCTATTGACTGATGGTTGGCCCTACTGTAAGGACAAGAATTAAGAAAAGAGGAAAAACAGAGATCTTGAAGACTTCCCTCACAAGTCTGTTTCTTTTTAAAAATTCACTTTGTTGATACATTTTAGGTACATGTAGTGATAATTTTTATCATGAGAAATTTATACCATATGTGACATATCTTGATTCTTTTTTCCCATCCACCCCTTCAACTCCTCTTCTACACCTTATTTACAAAATTTTTCCCTATTTTTCCTTCTATTATTTTTTATTTTCTTTTCTCTTTCTTCTTTTCCCATTTCCACCTCCCTTGTTCCACTTCACATTTGAACATTTTCTTTTCATTTCTCAATATCTATTATACATTTTGGTAATTATTTACATATTCAGTTTCAAACAACAGAGAAACTGTACTGTTAAACATGTGTGTCAAATTTATTTCATGTAACAGTATAATTTCTAGGTGCATTCATTTACTTAGGAAGGCTGCAAATATACCCTTTTTAAAGAACAATATTCCATTGTATAAAAATGTCTATTCCTCCATTGATTGCACAAGTACTGTTTCCAAGAATTACTTGTTATAAACTGTGCTGCTATAAATATGGGTGTACATACATCACTTTGGTATGACCCTTTGGTGTAAGTTTTTTGTATGATGCTTTTGGTATAATTATTTTGGGAAGAAACCAAGATGAGGAATAGCTGAGTCAAATGGAACTTTTATTCCTAGTTTTCTGAGGAACTGCCACACTGATTTC